CCTTGCCATGCTGTCCCTTCCTGTAGCACATCGCAGTACATGGCTCACAGGGCCAAGCTGCAGCCTGGTGCAAACATCAGTGCAGTTCTGCCATTTACAGCAGGGCTGCCGTTGGCCCTCAGAGTGAGTCTGTGGCCTGGACCAGGCACTGCTGTGGGGAACCTCGCAGCACTGGCATCCCAGCTGCGCCCCAGTCTGGGGAGCTCCCCCTGGCAGACGTTTGCAGCAGCTGGGGCTGGGGCTGGCGTTGGCCTGCAGTGCAGGACAGGGAGGGGCCGCACAGACACTTTGCGTTTGTTTTTAAACAAGGAATTATCTGGGATTTGTTTTTCCGAGCCAGCGGGAGGCGAGCAGGGCGGGAGCCAGGGCTCTAATCCCTGTTTGAAAAGGTCAGAGCCCTGTCATTCATCCCAGCCAATAGTGCAGCCTCCACGAAGGGCAAGTGGGGCAGGGCCAGGCCAGGGGAGCGAGAGGGACAGACAGACAGACGGATGGGGAGACAGGAGAGCGAGGACTGGAATGAGTGCCTTTGGCTGGGGGAACGTGTTATCAGGCTCCGAATTCCACGCAAAGTGAGATCAGCTGGTCTGGAATCTGGAACCAATTCCAAAGCCTGCGGAGGCTCAGTGTAATGTGCTCCACATTAGGCAGGCGCTGTGCTAGCTGTGCGGGCCGAGGGCTGCGGACATGGGCATGCCAGCGCCTGGCAGTGCAGCAGAGATCCACTGGGCTTTGCCTTGTCCAGGGCCTGACACCCAAGAGTCTCAAAACATTTTGCTGTCCTGTGACCTTCCCACCCCATCAGGGGCACCTAGCGCTGCCTCACATCACAGGTGGGGCAACTTCCCCAAGACAGGAGGGGAACCCCTAGGCTGCCCAGCAATTCATTGGCACAGGTGGGGATGGCACCTATAACTCATGGATCCCAGTCTTGTACTAAGAACAGGAGTACTTGTGGCACCTTAGAGACTAACAAATTTATTAGAGCATAAGCTTTCGTGGACTACAGCCCACTTCTTCGGATGCATATAGAATGGAACATATATTGAGGAGATAGGCTGTAGTCCACGAAAGCTTATGCTCTAATAAATTTGTTAGTCTCTAAGGTGCCACAAGTACTCCTGTTCTTTTTGCGGATACAGACTAACACGGCTGCTACTCTGAAACCAGTCTTGTACTGTCATCCATCCAGTACTGCTAGTGTGAACACTGGCACTAGTGCCCTGTCTGTGTCTGGGGCTATGAGTGTGACCCCTGACACTAGTGCCCTCTGTGTATCTGGGTCTGAGTGTGAATCTTGGCACTAGTGCCCTGTGTGTGTCTGGAGCTGAGTGTGAACCCTGGCACTAGTGCCCTGTGTGTGTCTGGAGCTGAGTGTGAACTCTGGCACTAGTGCCCTGTCTGTACCTGGGGGCTGGGAGTGTGAACCCTGGCACTAGTGCCCTGTGTGTGTCTGGAGCTGAGTGTGAACCCTGGCACTAGTACCCTGTGTGTGTGTCTGGAGCTGAGTGTGAACCCTGGCACTAGTGCCCTGTGTGTGTCTGGAGCTGAGTGTGAACCCTGGCACTAGTGCCCTGTCTGTACCTGGAGCTGAGTGTGAACCCTGGCACTAGTGCCCTGTCTGTACCTGGGGGCTGGGAGTGTGAACCCTGGCACTAGTGCCCTGTGTGTGTCTGGAGCTGAGTGTGAACCCTGGCACTAGTGCCCTGTGTGTGTCTGGAGCTGGGTGTGAACCCTGGCACTAGTGCCCTGTGTGTGTAACGCCGACAGACCGCGGTCGTTGGCGGGCGGGATTGAACCTGGGGCCTCTGGAGCTTAGTGCATGAGCCTCTACTGCATGAGCTAAAAGCCATGTGGCCCTTAGCTAAGGCTGTAGAGCAGATTAATTAATCTCTCTCTACGTGGTCTCAGTGCCACTAGATGGGGCAGAACACCACACCCAGGAGGTGTGTGAGTTACATGTACACTTAAGGGCTGTGTGTGTGAACCCTGGCACTAGTGCCCTGTGTGTGTCTGGGGCTGGGGGTGTGAACCCTGGCACTAGTGCCCTGTGTGTGTCTGGGGGCAGGGGCTGTGAGTGTGAACCCTGGCACTAGTGCCCTGTGTGTGCTTGGGGGCTGGGGGTGTGAACCCTGGCACTAGTGCCCTCTGTTTGTTTTTAAACAAGGAATTATCTGGGATTTGTTTTTCCGAGCCAGCGGGAGGCGAGCAGGGCGGGAGCCAGGGCTCTAATCCCTGTTTGAAAAGGTCAGAGCCCTGTCATTCATCCCAGCCAATAGTGCAGCCTCCACGAAGGGCAAGTGGGGCAGGGCC